AGAGAGAGAGAGAGAGAGAGAGAGAGAGAGAGAGAGAGAGAGAGAGAGAAGCAGAAGCAGAAAAAGGGCAAAGGGCAAAATTAGCACACCAAACGATATGCATGCAAGCACACCACACGATATGCGATGGGATCACACAAAGATGTACTTCGGCAGAAGACCCGCATGGGCGGGATGTCTGATAGGAAACATTCTCATCATGTACGTCCCATCCTTCTAAGAGCCCCTCTACCAATCACCTACGTGCTGTCAATCCCAAGAAACTACCAATCAATCCTCAGGGCAAAATCACAATCACAACTACAACCACAAATCTTTGCCTTAGGGATCCGCCTCACTCTCTGCTCTCCTCCACGTCATGTCAATGTCACATAATTTCCTCCTCGTTTCCTCCTCCTCCTCCTCCTCCTCCTCCTCGTCCTCTCCCTCCTCCTCAGCATGACTCCATCATCATCCCTCATATAATCTCCTCCTCCTCTCCTCCTCTGCTGTTCTTATTAAGAGCAATATAAGAACAAATCATGAATGACAGGAACAAGGAATCGATGTCCGATAAATGTCTCTCTCCCTGCCACGGCAGAAAGAAGGCTCCTTTAGATCTCCACTTGCTCACTCGGTCCTCTTCGCGGTTATGCCACCGGATATGGCACAGATCATCCCAAATTTGCACGGGATGTACACAGGACGATGTAAGAGACACTACTCCCAGACCTGTCTCTGCCTTATCTCTCCACCCCCAGCTGCCCTGGCTCACTCACGGATGACATCCCTGATGAATCAACTGGAACAACAACGGAGGCCTTTTTGATGTATTGCTAACCAAGTAGGTGGAGATTGAGGTCCACCATAGCCAAAGGTAAGTCTAAGACTTATTGTTCGTTCCCTCCGTCCCCCTCCTCCTGCTCCTCTTCTCCTTTGAAGTCTCCTACTTTACTCCAGAGCCCAATTTGCACTTCTCCTTCCTCCCTCCATAGCCAGATTACTTCCCCACCCCTCTGCTCTACCTTTCTCCTCCACGGCCATGTAGGTCTTCTTCGCCACCCTCGATACCTCCTTCTCTCTCTCTCTCTCTCTCTCTCTCTCTCTCTCTCTCTCTCTCTTGTACTCACTGCCCGAATGCCACATTCTGCCTTACCTGGGTGTTGCTTGGACCCAACCGGTGCGCTGACTTGATTGATTGGTTGACAGGTGGACCTCTGTGGGCATGCCACGCTAGCTGCGGCCCAGTTGGTATTCTCGGCAGGACTGGTCGAGGAGGAGGAGATCAAATTTCACACAAGAAGTGGCGTGCTAACTGCCCGCAAGGTGCCGTCGACAGAAAAGTCAGAGGAAGATGAAGGTGCCGCCGACAGCACTGGCCATGGCGATCCGTCATCGACAGCAGTGCGGCAAAATGACACGTCCACTTCGGTGAGCTCTAGACCGGAGTACAAGGGACAAATCGAGTTAGACTTCCCGATAGTCCGAGCCGAGGCAGCAGTTGGGGAAGAAGGCACATCGTTGCGAACGGCACTTGGTCAAGCTCTCAAAGGGCGACAGCAGTCGGATCTGAAGATGCACTTTGTTGGGAGAAGCACGGGCAATGACATTCTGGTTTGTCCTACTTCCTTCATCCTGGCATGCTCCATTTCTGAATGTATGAATGATTCTCTCTCTCTCTCTCTCTCTCTCTCTCTCTCTCTCTCTCTCTCTCTCTCTCTCTCTCTCTCTCTCTCTCTCTCTCTTGTCTGTGTGTGTGAGCGTCTGCGTGTGTGGGCACTCTAGGACTGTATAGAAAATTCTGCTGGTCTGCCTGTGCAAATGGTCATCAATTTTCCTGGTCTCCCATCACGCTTCCTCTGAAAACACAGTTTTATATCAGCTGCAGGTGGTCACAGCCGTGCTTGAGCCACACTATCGTGGCAGTATGCAGGCCGTTGCTAAGTGAGGACACCAGCGGTATGAAAGGGAAGAGTGGATTGTAAAGAAATATGCTCATACATTTACTAGTTACTCTGTAGTTTTTTTTAACATAGAAGACGCAAACATTTACTACGGTAGTGGCCTACTGTCTTCAACCCAATAGGAGGCCCAGTCGATATAGCTGTATTTTGGGGGCAACGTTCAGTCTACATACAGCAATATAATGACAGGGCGTTCTATTCGGGTGAAAGATGGTAGTATAATTTTTGTCCCAGGGGTGCTGTTGTTTATGCCTTCGTTCAGAATGTCTGACTTGTTGTTCTCGAGATTGCTTTTTTTTTTGTACGATAGGATCGATTGTGTCTGACTCGTTGCTCTCGATTGTTTTGTGCCGTAGGATTGATGATGATGTGCGACTTGTTGCCTCTCGATTGTTTTCGTACCCTAGGATTTTGTCAATCCATGTCGCCAGCTGAAAAGAAAAAGAAGGGCGGGTCTCGTCAGAACCAGGGCGGTTGTAATATGAAGAGTATTACGAAGCTTGCCTTCCCTTTGTTGAAACTTTAACTTCCAGAATATTTTTTCAGTAAAGTTGAGTAAACTATTATTGGTTTACTAACCGATGAAGGAGTGTGGTTACTGAGCAGGTTAGTTGGACAGTGGACACTCTTGTCTAATAAACTATTTTTAGTATTTTGTTGGTTTACTAACCAAAATCAAAGAGTGCGGTTACTAACCAGATTAGGTGGCCACTCCTCGTTGTCTGATAAACTCTTTGGTTTATTCACCAACGACGAAGGAGTGTGGTTGCTAACCAGGTTATAGCCGGACACGCTTGTCTAATAAAACTATTTTGCTGGTTTACTAACCAAAATCAAGGAGTGTGGTTACGATATAAGAGGCCACTTTATTATCTTATAAAGGTGGCTTACCAGATTAGGTGGCCACTCCTTGTTGTCTGATAAACTATTGAGGTTGCTAACCCAGATTAGGAGAGAAGGTTAACGGGGACCTTAATTTTCAGACAGATTAGGTGGCTAACCAGATTAGTAGGTACCCAACAAAGGAGGCCACTTTATCTTATAAAGGTGGCATATCAGATGAGGTACCCAACAAAGGAGTGTGATTGCTAACCAACAACAGAGTGCGGTTGCTAACCGACGAAGGAGTGTGGGTGCAAGCCGACGATGGAGTGGAGTGTGGTTACTAACCAGACTCTCCAAGGGGTGTGTTATCAGTAAAGGAGTGGCCACCTATTGGCTATTGGTTTACTAACCAATGAAGCAGTGTGGTTATAACCCGGTTAGGTGACCGCTCGTTGTCTGATAAACCATTGGTTTATTATTAAGCAATGAAGGCGGGTGCGGTTGCTAATCAATGAGGGAACGTGGTTGCTAACCAGATTCTCCAAGGGGTGTGTTATCGGTAAGGGAGTGTCCACTTATTGGTTGGTTAGTGAAGCGAACACTTTTCTCAGATGTACTGTTTTTCAGAGTGAAGTAAAGTTAGTTCATTAATGGTACTAATGTGACGGTAAGCGGACTTAGGGCGTACTCACAATAGGCCCTCAAAATCAGAAATCGCAAAATGAGTGGCCAGATTGAGTCCTTGTAATTGAAAGACTTCGTTATGTTGTGATTTTGAGGGCCTAGTGTGAGTATACTCTTATAACGCAGAGGGTTTGCTTCAGTTCTGGACTGTGTTTACATTACGTCATAGCTGACCTGGCGAACAGCTGATGCTGCTGAGCTGGCAAACAGCCAGTCAGTTCTCTATGATAGCACAGAGTAGTACTGACTGGATATGGCCCGGTTGTGTATGCTTGCAGATTGAGCTGGAGTCAGGAGCTGGCGTCAGAAATCTGACGCCTGACATGGCTGATACTACTGAGCTGGCAAACAGCCGATCAATCCGCTGTGATTGCACAATGATTAAATACTAACTGGATATGGTCTGGTTCGGTATGCTTGCAGGTTGAGCTGGAGTCAGAAGCTGACGTCAGAAATCTGATGCCTGACATGGCAAAGGTTGCAGCGATCGATGCGAGGGGAATAATTGCCACTGCCGCAACTGTTGGGAAAGACTCTGAATTTGATTTTGTATCTCGGTTCTTTGCTCCACGGTCGGGAATCCCTGAGGTGAGTTTGACTTTTGATCCTTTTTTTTTTTTTTTTTAAGTTGACTTTTAATCTGCTGCTTATATGCATGGTGCCAAATTAAGTAAATTAGTAAATGACTAAATTTCCTTAATCGGTTTTCCACTTCCGGCATGGGTTATGGAACACTGTACATTGATTGCTAAACCTTTCTTTCCTGCCTCTCTCTCTCTCTCTCTCTCTCTCTCTCTCTCTCTCTCTCTCTTGGCTCTCGTCTTGTTTGCTCTCGCCAGCTCTTCTCTTTTCTCCTTTCCTCTCCTTGCTATCCTCCTCTTTTCTCAAGCTCCTTTTTCGTTTGTCATGTTTACACTAGGGCTTTCCTTGATGAATCTGACCAGATTTATCGGGCTGCATTCAGTAAAGAAATGTCCCATGTGACTACGAGAGCAGGTTAATGGAGGCCGAAATTTTGAGACAATTTTCCAAATTTCCAATGCTCCAAATGAGACCAAAATTGGCAGACAGCAACCTTGAACCAAAAAAAAAAAGGCAAAAACTTGAGAAAACTCAGAAAAGGAAAAAAAAAACAAAAAACAAAATTTTGACCCCCGGACGGCCTGAACCCAAATTTCTGTTTTGGAAGCCGTTAACCAGGGGCTAACGGCTTTATTCTGGTCGGCAAATTTCAGTTTTTCCCAGTTTGAGCTAACGGCTTTATTCTTTCCCGTTACCCACTTGTGGTGAATACGGTTTTATTCTGGTCGGCATTCTATTTCTGGTAGGGGAAAAAAAAAAAAAAAAACAGGTATTCCTAAATGCATGCCAAACTGGGGATGCAATCAATGGAAGAAAATAATATGGAGAAAAAAACTTCAAAAACGGGAGAAGAAAGGGAAGAAAAGGGAAAGAAAATGGAGATATTCCCTCCTCCTGCAAGGTCTACTTAGCGAGGGGGGCGAAAGGGGCGGAAAAAAGGAGGTGGAGAAAAGAGGAGGATAGCAAGGAGCGGAAAAGGAGAAAAGAAAAGAGGCGGCAAGAGCAAATAAGATGGGACGAGAGAGAGAGAGAGAGAGAGAGAGAGAGAGAGAGAGAGAGAGAGAGAGAGAGAGAGAGGCAGAAAGTATGTGTAGAAGCAGCATTGTCAAACTCTTGCTAATTGCAACATGCATTTGCTTGTATTTATTTATGTAACATTTATGTATTTACTATTTAATCTTTTATTTTTCAAATCCTTATATATTTATTTAAATTTCATTGTTTCAATGATTTCTTATGTTCTTTCGTTGTTTCAAATCCCGCAGGACCCTGTAACTGGCAGTGCGCATTGTACCTCCGGTCCTTTCTGGGCATCAAAACTGGGAAAGTCCACAATGACAGCATATCAGGTTCGTTCACGCATTGAATTAAAAGTTAATAAACCCTACTTTGTGTGTCTCTGTCGCTTTTTTGAAGTTTTTCCCATCTATGATTATTATTATTATTATTTTTTTTTTCAAAGTTAAACCCCTACTTCGTCCCTTTTTCCCAATCTGAAGTTTTTCCCATCTATGATTATTATTATTATTATTATTATTATTATTATTATTATAATTTTTCAAAGTTAAAACCCTACTTCGATTTTTTTGTCAAAGTTTTGAACCATTTATTAGTCTTATTAGACTCTTATATGCAAACCGTATGCATGGCCAGTGGCTACTGCTGCGCAGTGTCCACAGTGTTCTTTTTTTCTTCTTTTTTTTCTTTTTCCCCAAGTCCTATGACTCCACTGCGTGAAATATCTTCAAATAAATAACATAACTTACATAAGTATATTATTATTATAAATTTAATAATTAAAAGGAGTCCTATTTCACTTTCGGTCTAAACCTCCCACCGAATCTACAGAATCTGTACCTTTGAAGTCAGAACTTGTTAAAAAAGCATGAAGTTCCGTTTCACCCCCACAGGTTCTCGTTTCGTTGTTTTAGCTCTTTTTAGTGGAGCAGTACGAAATGAACTTGTGAATACTACGAAGGCATGTGGCCATCCACATTTCAAGTTTCCGTTTCAGCTTTCAAGTTGCAACCATACCTTCGTAGTACTGGAAGGTCGACTGGCCCCAAAAAAGCAACGGTACTGGAAGGCAAAGTCGCAGAAAATTCTGCACGTGCCATGTAGGATGTGCGAGCGGAGGGGCACGGTGTGGCGCACGGGGGAAATATTCACGCAGAGAAAAAAAAAAAAGGGGTTGCATGACTGGGTAAACAATGGTCACCTCCGACCCCTTCGACGGTTTGTAGTGGGGTGAAAAAAGAAGGAACCCGTAGTGGGAGAGCAATGCTGCTACCTGGCGGACGAGACGGATGGCTGGCCCAGACACCTATTTGAGGCTATTTGTGATGCCAATGGGACGGAAAGAAACGTCTGTAAGAGTGTACGTGAAAAACAGATCCTTCTTGGTGTCTCACATCCCTTCCGTATGTGAGAGGCGGGCCTCCCCAAGAGTTGTTACAAACAGTCGGCCGCCAAAGCCTATCTGCCCCGCACAAGAAAAAAAAAAAAAAAAAAAAAAAAAAAAAAAAAAAAAAAAAAAAAAAAAAAAAAAAAAAACAGATGTTGCTTAGGTGGCGCACTCTTATCTATCTACAAAAAGAGCAGAAAAAGAAGAGGGTAACTGCTGCTGGTATGGTATATGAGCAGGTGCCGAGCCGCACGCCATGTGGTGCACCGCACGGAATGGCGCACAGTGCTTGGTTTCACCTCGCTTTGTGCGTACGCTCCTCTTAGGATGGTGGGTAGTAGGCAGCAACAGCTGTGATATACCGGGAGGTCCAGTTTGTTAGCGGGAGCAGTTCGTCGTGTCAGTCAGTCCAGTCGCTGCGCCTGGTGTGTACACGCCTTGCGACTCCTCTTTTGTGTGTACGCACCTCTGAATGCTTCTCCTGGTGTGTGTACGCCTTGTGGCTCCTCTTTTGTGTGTACACTCCTTTGAATGCTTCTCCTGGTGGGTAGGAGGTTAAGTTACTTGACAAACTCTGGATGCCTCAAAGGTTGACTGGGCCCAAAAAAGCAACGGTACTGTTCCCAAAAGTCCAAGTTTGGGAACGGTAACAAGCGCAAAAGTCTGGCAGCAACAAAGTGTCAGCACGATTGCCCCTAGAGCAAGTCTCAGAACTGCACGATTGCCCTTCGAGCAAGTCTCAGAACTGCACAATTGCCCTTCGAGCAAGTCTCAGAACTGCAGGATTTCCCTTCGAGCAAGTCTCAGAGCTGCCATTGGTGTCTGTGTGGCCAGGCATCGAGTGAGGCAGGTGTAGCAAGCTTGACGGTGCTGTAGCAGACTTGATGGTGCCATAGCTTAGCCGAAGAGAGATACCGAGGAGAGGGAAGGCCCATCAGGGAGAGACTGTGAGGTTTGAGGGTAGGACATAGCTTCAGAGAGAGAGAGAGAGAGATAGTATACCATACGTGTGCTCGTGCGCGTGCGCGCGCAAGAGAGAGAGAGAGAGAGAGAGAGAGAGAGAGAGAGAGAGAGAGAGAGAGAGAGAGAGAGAGAGAGAGAATCTTGTTGATGTTCTTGGGCTGCGGTCACAACTGATGGTGTATGTACATACATGCATCTTGTTGTATAGGACTTCGATGCTAGACATCTTCATGATTATCATATAGTGCATGTTGGTTCCATCTCGTGCTCAATGTAGTTTTTCCATATTATGTATGGATGTTAATTTAGAACTTGCGTGGTGTTTCTTTTTTTTTTTTTTCCAGTTCGCTAAGCATGACCAAAAGAAGGGAAAGTGGTTAAGTAGAACTTGTTTTTTTTGGGTGCTTTAGTAGGATATAAGACAGTAGGATGGGATGTAGAAAACACCCCCAAAAAATAGAGTCCGTCGCTCAGATTTGGCTATTGTTATTACTATCATTAACTGATAAATCACCATAATATGTTTTGTCGTGGATGAATGCAGTGTTCCGAGCGCGGAGGCCTTGTCCATGTCTGCGTCGATGAGAACAAAGGGCGAGTGTTCCTTCGCGGAAGGGCAGTTATGGTGATGGCAGGCGTGCTGCTCAACACTCACTCTGCATGACCCAGAGAGGATTGGGAGGGGATTTGCAGTGGGAGAAAGGGATATGAAGGGGGAGAAGGAGGAGGGAAGCAGTAGAGTGGGAGAAAGGGGAGGAAGGGGGGGGTGGAGTAAGGGGAGGTGGTCTTTTCCTCGAACGCTGTGTTGTTGTTTTCGTGTTTCAAATGTGATCAGCAGTTCAAAACTGTAGATAATATTTGCTAGAGTGTTTCTCGTCAATACCTCCCTCCTCACCGTCTGATGTGTGTGCTTTACAGTGTACATGTACCACCAGGCTTTTGCCACCGAGCCCCGGAGCTAGCATGTGTTCATTAGTTCAAGCGTGGGGGAGCATGCAAAATGGGAAGTGTCAACATCAACGAGTATGGAAATTTGTTCAGCAATTACTTCGAACAACCAGGATGGAAAATCCTCCTGCGAAACTTATGGTCAAACGCAAGGGGGGTTGTGCTTTCGATGTATTTGGTGTGGACAAAATGGTTTGATGCGTGCGGTGATTTGTGGCAGGTCTGCCCGTTAGCTGCAGTGGTGATAGAGGATGTTTCCCTGCTATCCTGCCTTTTGGCATTGTTGTCTGTGTAAAACGCAGTTGCACAGCAGTATCACTCCTTAGTGAAACTGATTTCCCCTCTGCTGGAGTGTGTACCTCTCTCTCTCTCTCTCTCTCTCTGATTTCTCCTCTGCTGGAGTGTCTCTCTCTCTCTCTCTCTCTCTCTCTCTCTCTCTCTCTCTCTCTCTCTCGTGTACACTCAAGCACGTATTGTGTATTATGCATTCTTTTCCATGAAGAAAGGTTCTCTCTCTCTCTCATGTACTCTCAAGTACGTAGTGTATTATGCACTCTTTTCCATGAAGAAATTCTATTGCAGCACACAAAAGTCCCACTTCTGCCGAGAATGCCCTTTTGGAAAAGCTACAAAGCCAAACATAGCGTTGCACCTGTTCGCAGTGCACTGTTCACAGTTTATCGGACATGAGAGAGAGAGTACATTCAGACATGTAGAAATTATGACAAACCAGAATGTCATTGCCCGATACTAATGTCAATATGCCCTAACATTGGCATAAAACTTTAAGTAATACGTGCGCACAAAGATGAGCGTGGAATGTCAAAAACTTGAACGTCCTGATTTGAAAGAGATTCACGCCATTTCATTTTTGCATGCCTCACAAGGGACACCTAATCGAGTGTACACTCGATTGTCATCACTGTTCATTGCATGTATACACGTTGGCATCAAATGTGCTCAGGAAGCAAAGGCGATAACAATGTCCACTCTTGTGCCCAAGGCAAATACATGACCTTGGGGATAGTGATAACAATGTCCACTCTTGTGCCCAAGGCAATAGTGATAACAATGTGCAAACGTACATATCATCGTCAGGACCAACGACCAGATCCTCCCTGTGCCTGCGAACTGAGGCTCGCCACCTCAGAACTATGTTCGGCTGTGGTAGATGGCTTTGTAATTCCTCCCTTCTGATGTTACAGCGTGCTGCAGTTACAATCCCTCCACCTCGGAGACATGGTGGGCACTTCATGTAGTGAAAAGTAGTTGCTACCGTCTTCGCCCAAATACAGCACCTGTTCATTAACACCTCATCTGGACTGCAAATTGCACCAAATACAGACATAATGCTTGGGCGTTCTACTCCGGTGAAGAGGGTAGGAAAGACTCCATAAGCAACCACTCCAAACCATTATTAGCATTGATTCCATCGGGAAGAGAGATCTAGTGCAGTTTAAGTATGCCTCAAAATCTACATATTAAAAATAAAGCAAAATAAATATATATACTGGCATTATCCATACCAGATTCCAATATAGCTATTATAGCAAAATGCATCCCCGATATGTCCAACTCCACTGGGCCCATGGAAAATTGGTTCCACGCAGCCGTCCTCGTCCTGTAAGCCACGCGGGTACGGCCTATTACCTTTTTTTTGGTCACTAGTGCGCAGCTCCGTTCTGTGCCAGCTGGAGTCTTCAGGGGTTGCAAGTTGGCGAGCGATTCTGCCTCAATTCTTTTTTTTTTATCCGGTTGTTCAGGATGACGGTTGGCTGTGGACAGTTTGACCCTTTGTGCTGGATGCAATAGTGGTCAGGCAGTCTTTTTCTCATGCGTTGCATTTTGCCAGTGCCAATCTTCAGTCGCCACAGGCTGACACAGCTCTGCCTTTTTGTTTTTTTTTGGTCGCTTAGCATGGTATTGGGTTGCCGGCCGTTTGTAGTTTTCTAGTAGATTTCTGTTCTTTTCCCTTTGAAGTTTGAACAAGCTAGTTTGAACACACCAGCAGTTTGTAGCTTTCTGGTGGATTTCTGTTCTTTTCCCTTGACCAACTTCACCACTGAGCAAACGAAAATCTTCAGCTAGAAAATGGAAAGATACACTGCCAGATAGTCTTTTCTTTTCATGTCGATTGCTCACGTATAATCGTGGCGTAGGGCATGCTCACACCCAGAATCATTGCTCACGACATAGTCTTTTCTTTTCTTTTCTTTTCATGTTGATTGCTCACGTATAATCGTTTCTTAGGGCATGCTCACACCCAGACAATCATTGCTCACGACATGTTCATATCCAACACAGTGATTTCTTAAACCGCTCGTAGACGGTGTCGATTGCTCACGTATAATCGTYGCGTAGGGCATGCTCACACCCAGAATCATTGCTCACGACATAGTCTTTTCTTTTCTTTTCTTTTCATGTTGATTGCTCACGTATAATCGTTTCTTAGGGCATGCTCACACCCAGACAATCATTGCTCACGACATGTTCATATCCAACACAGTGATTTCTTAAACCGCTCGTAGACGGCGCCAACCTTGCAGTCCACACTTGTCGCCACAAGAAGACGAGGCCGAAGCGTCATCAGATGCTGCACCTGCCGTTGATCGGTGGTCATTTTTTCGTTTCGCGGCTGCGGAAGGAAAGGCGTCAGGTCCGCAGGGCAGGTTTGTAAGGCGTGTTCACTTCCAACACATGTTTCTCAGGGCATGCTCAATACAAAGTCATTTTTCTTTTTGGTTTTTGTGTCTTTGTTTTTTTCAGAAAAAGGGGCGACGATCTTTGCGAGATAACTTTTTTGTGTCGACCTGGCGTGGCACACCAATGAAGTTGGGAACTTCGGAAATAAAGACTGGAGTTTAAATCCCGATGCGACCAGGTGAGCAGAAGAAGGCGATTTTGAGTTATGTCGGCTCTATTTTGCGGCACCGCTGAAACCAGGCTGCTGTTCAAGTATATTGCAGGAGAGGGTTCTTTTGGGCACATGGCGCACCTGACATCGTTCACCTACCCTACACGGTACCCGCCAGCCCACAAAGTGCCACCCAACCCACACGGTATCACCTGCGCCGCATGATATCACCCAGTCCACATGATACAATCCATCCGGTTCATCTGCTCCACGTAGTACTGCCCAACCTCCGTTCCACATAGCGCTTCCTGATCCACGTTGTGTGCAGGTATCCAATCCCTTTCTGACGGAACTTGTCCCCAGTCCCTCCGCACAGCAAACCGTCCCTTCTGAACCTGCGACCCTTGATGCAGCACCTCTCGGCCACAGGGGATGCCCGTGATGTGCCTTCAATTGTAATTTATAATCCATGATTACCACCGTTTGCACAGCAAAGTCTCACCGACTCACCCACTGCCAATGCTCTACCTCAGCAGTTTGACCGGACATCCTGGCCGGAACGTCGTGTCTGCTCCGTCTAGCGCATACAAACCGTCCTGCCTGCACCCATCGAGCGTGCACAGACCGTCCCGCCATTTGTCCGGACATCCTCGCTGGACCGACCTGCCTGCACCATCTACGCTTGTACAGACCTCTTCTTGCCTGCACCCAAGAGCTTGTACAGACCTCTCCTTGCCAGCACGCTCGAGCTTTGTACCACCAGGTTGGTTCAACTTGGAAGCATTCCACAAGTCTCAAGGTTAGCGGACGCTTACCTCAATGGAGGCAGATCGGTTGCGTAGCTGCATGATACTTCTGTATGGCTTGCATTGCTCTCTTTTGGTAATTCTGCAGCTCCCACGCCCCCCCACATCTCTTTTGGTATCTTCTGGACATCCCAGCCCTGAGAGACAAAATCTGCACAGAGGCTTCTTCATCTCGGACAATACTTTCGCCCTCTGTGTACAAGCCTTTTTTTTTCCCATTGAGAAAAAGAGAAGTGAACGGCGGCGATGTTTGGCCTCCCTACTATGTGCGTGCCTACTTTCTCACCCCTTTGCCTAGCTTCTCACAATGCTTTTCTTAGAAGACACCAATCTCTGCTCGGAGCGCCATTTTCCACTCCAACTCATTTCCTTACCAAGCCTTTCATTGTTGAAACAACTCCTCCCTGCGCAAGTGACGCTGACGCCTTTTCCTGGTCTCTGATGACTTTTGTTGGGCGGAAATTCAACACCACAAAATTCAAATCCGGCGAGACGGTTATGTACTGCACTTTACCAATCCAGCATGCCCAATCTCTTGAAGCGGGTCTTTGTTCATCTGGAAGAACAGCACTGGCCGCTGACCGACTGCGGTTCTGCAATGTGTCTTCAACTACCTGCCGCTTCCTGTGCCATTCGGGCTCCTCTACATCCGCCCTTTCCGCTGTCTGAATGGACGGTCTGCTCCCTCTGCGATCGAGATCACTTGACCACTGCTGCTTGTGTGAGAATCCCAGATTCACATCATTACTACGACAACACGTGCCGTCATCATCAAGGCCAATCACAGGGGTCCTATGCTGGCTGTCATCCCCCCTTTGGTGAATCTGATGCGGACAGGTCATCCTGCACGGCTTTCCAGCAGGAACACAGAGAGCATCAGACTCTATGTCTGTTGTTGTTCTGGGAGAACTGACCCCCCCCTTCGCATTGAAACCCCCCTCCGTAACATCAACACCATCATCACCTTCTCTTGTGTGTGTGTGTCTCTGCAAAGCGCTGCTCATTGGCGAAGAGGGTTTGCACAAGACCAAGCCATGTCCTTGCGGGGACAGCTCTGCTCCTGACTCCACCACGTCGCACTCCTTCGCTGGTGCTGCGCACCGGATCTCACACTTCTCACTGAAAGCTTCTCCCTTGTCCGATAATGTAGCAGCTAATCCCAATTCAGATTGCTCCTTCGCCGTGTCGTCACCTTCCTTGAATGGAACATCGACCATCAACGTGTTTGCTGCAACGCAAATTCCACCAGCGTGTACATAACACAATCACTGAGTTACTCTTGGTAAACACAGCACACCCTCTGCACTATGTTCAGGACACAGTCAGACACAGTTGTCTTTGGAAACCAGACCACTCAAATGGGAATATGACTCGATGCAATATAAAATTATAAATCTATGCTGAGCCCCGTCTTCCGCCCGGCCACTCCCGGGGGAGCTGGTGGGAGGGGGAGCGTCGCCCAGCAAAACCAGACAGGTCAAAAAAGAGGCAAGGATCCCAAAAAAAAAAAAAAACTGACTTCAGGCCAGGACTGCGTTTGGCCTGAGCAGTCGGAATCTGGGCTTACCTTCTATTTCGATGATGGGTCACCCAGCAGGGTTGGGGGGGGTATAAAGTTACTATAGACAGCGAGTAGAGGGGTTTAAAAGGGTATATTTAAAAGGGTATATCTTAACTCATGTTTTCTCATTTATTTGTTATCTTTTAAATTAATACAGCCTTTCGAGGAACCCACAACATACATTCTTTTCGTTTTTTTTTTACTTTTTAAAGCTTTTTATCAAAATTTTATTTTTCTTTTTTTTGTAATATTATGCGCTGGGACTGCCCGGGACCTTGCCCGGACCCTGCTCGAGACATTCATGATAACATTCATGATAATAGGGTGTGTACTTCGGGGGATTAAGGTTTCCTTATATACGTCAGTGTATGAGGAAAACACGCTTTGCTCCACTGCACACCAGCCAGGAGATTTGACAGCCAGCTACACAAACTTCTGTCCTCTTCTGTTTGTCGTTCCGATAACTGAGCCGGCGTAGCTTGCATCTCTCTTTCCTTCTCTCCCTACCTCCTCCTACCTGGCTGATTTTCCGTGCGCCTGAGACACTGGGACTTCTGATCTCTCTCTCTCTCTCTCTCTCTCTCTCTCTCTCTCTCTCTCTCTCTCTCTCTCTCTCTCTGAGTGTGTGTGTGTGTGTGTGTGTGTGTGTACTCTCTCTCTCTCTCTCTCTCTCTCTCTCTCTCTCTCTCTCTGCTTGGAGGGGTCTGCCCCTAAGATTAGTCTATCCATTAGAATTCAAGATTAGTATATCCATTAGAATTCCACTTCATCAAAAAAAAAAAAAAAAATAATAAATCCAATTCATCCATAAGCAGTAACTGGGGTGCTATCTGTGAATAGGAGGATGTTATGCACTACTGCTCCATGAGAGGGAGACTAAGAAAGGGCAGTCTATCCTTCCAGGACATCCATTAAAATTGGAAGGATACAGAGAAGACTAGAATGGTGCTTGCGCATGGATTTGAAACTCATAAATCAAGGAATGAATGGTTCAAATAAAAAAAGAAAAGAAAGGTCGATCGGTATATGTGAGATAGAGGTGGTCTTCGCAGAACTGGGCTAAAAGCATGTCTGAGATTGAGGCAGTCTCTCCAGAAAGGGGCCGACTTCCCTCCTCTGCGGGCTGGGCTTGAATCCCTGAGACCTTACGTCCGTGAAGACCAATTTGCTACTACTCGTTCCTATTCTGTGTGCTCCCGTCAAAGTCAGCCGGCGCACAAAGACCGGTCTAGGGCAGGGGAACCTGTTCTGACCAACTGCCTTTTTCACAGTTCTTTATTTTCGTCCTTTTCTTTGGTCCAAAGAACCGCCAATCCAAACTCTTTTTTTTTTGGGGGGGGGGGGGGGGGGGGGCGAACAGGGCATGGGATAGTACGGTAGTGGAGGCGGTCCACCGATCCGACGTTAAAGAGTATGTCAGATATTATATTGATTTTTTTGTGTTTTATTAATCTTTTGGAAACAGGGTGTGGGATGGTATGGTAATGGTGGTGGTCCTCAAATCCAACATTAAAAAAAAAAAAAAAAAGTATGTCAACTCAGATCTTAAATTGCTCAGGATTGTCTGCTCTTATCAGCACCACTAGCACTGGTGGGGACGTATTAAAAAAAAATAAAAAAATAAAAATGCTCAGGATTCAGGCGCTCAGAACAGCATCTTGAGAAAAGAATTCAACAGATAGTACACTTCATCTTGGCCAAACATCTGGGTAGGGTAATTTGGTCTTCCTTCGTAAAGTCAGCGAAGATGGAAGGCCATCGAAGTGCTAATAAGCAGGTTGGGCCTGCCTTGCTAGGTCAGCGACGAGGAAGAATCGTTAACGTACTGAAAACTTTGGGTCAATGCGTATTGTCGGCAATTGGCAGAAGAGCTTCTGGGGTCCAGCCAACAAAATCTGCAGTCTAACTACCGTCTTCAATGCCCGGTGATTAGTCCTTCTGGACATCCGTTAAAATTGGAAAGATACAGAGAAGATTAGCATGGGCACTGCGAAAGGATGCCGCACATAAATCGAGAAATGGGAAAAAAAAAAAAAAAAAAAAAAAAAAAAAAAAACGCCCGGTGATTATCGCTGCACCTGGACTGAAAAATGGCCACAAATACGGCTATAATGACTGGGCGTTATATTCGAGTGAAGATGGTAGCAGTCAAGAGGGGTACCAAAAGAGAGATGGAGAGGGTAGGTGCTCTCCCTACCTGCATTGGTTTCAACACCCAGAATGCCGGGATTGTTTTTCTTGTCCTTGTTGAGACATGTGTTGCCCTCTGGTTTCCTCGCCACGAATGCCAGCACCAGTCTTTTCCTGGCTGTCAATGCAACCCTTGCTGCGCCGATCAGCCCCAGAGGCATGAGAGTATCTTCGCTATCAATCACTCGCACTGCAAATGCAGAATGGAATTTTGAGGGGTCACCTGTGAGCGAGGCAAAATCCACCACAGCACGAAATTATTCGAAAGACAACGAAAATCATGCCGAG